TGAGGCGAATTTGTCGCCGTCCTCAAGGGCGTGGTCTGTGTAGATCACGAAGGGCCGGGAGCCCGGAAGGTGAACCCGAAACTTCACAAGGGCATACTTCATTGCCAGGAGCCCCTTGTCGTGGACAGGGTAGTTTCGCTCGGCGGCTTTGAGCTGTTTGGACTGGAACGAGATGACTCGTTCGAGACCAGCCGTGTTGGCCTGCAGCAATGCACAACCGATGGCATTATCAGAGGCATCGCAGACGACGCTGAACGGCCTCGTCTCGTCCGGCAGGACCAGGGCAGGAGCCTCTTGGAGGCTGGCCTTGATGCTGTCAAAGGCATTATGGTGCTCTTGCTCCTAGCGCCAGTCGGCGTCCTTCTGAAGGAGGCCCGACCCGGGCTTAGCGAGGCCCGTGTACCCTGCGCTGTACTTATGAAGGCTGTTGGCCAAACTCAACCACGTTCGAAGATCCTTCTGGGATCGGGGCGTTGGCCATGCTGCAATGGCCTGGACCTTATCTGGGTCAGCCCGAACGCCCACGTTGCTGACGAAGTAACCGATAGCCTTGATCTCGGGTGACATGTTGGTGTAGGGCTTGTTCGCTCGCATCACGTCCAGCACTCGACAGATGTGTCTCAAATGCAGCTCCATGGTCGTCTTGCCTCCCTCGGTACGGCTATGGGCGAAGATGTCGTCGAAATACGTGTGTACGAAGGCGCGCATTGGCCTGAACAGTTGCGTCACCAGGCGGTTGAATGTCGCCGGGGTATTAGACAAGCCCTGCGGCGTGACGAGCCATTTTCAAATCATGCCGATTAGAGCTCTCACCGCGGTGAGCGGGATATCGCTCTCGCGCATCAGGATCTGGTAGTATCCGTCTACCAAATCCAGCGCACAGTACAGTACGCTTCCGGCCATGTTGTTAAACAACACATCCTTTCGTGGAATTGGAATTGGTGTCTAGGCCGGCATCGTCGCGTTTCTCAGGTTGTTATAAGCGTAAACTAGACGTCACTTCCCGTTCGACTTCCGAACGCAGAACGTTGGCGTCGAGTGCGGAGACTTTGACTCCCGCACCATGCCTGCCTTCGTTTTCGCAGCGAAAAAGGCATCGATGACATCGCGCCGTTCGTGTGAAGAGGCCATTGTCTCGGGACACAGTACTTTGTGCCAGGCACGAGATCAATGTCATGCCGTACGCCTCGATCCGGAGGGAGCTGGGTCGGTGGATGTTTGTTCACCATGTCCGCATACTTCGTCACCAAAGGATACACCGGATCCTTGGAGCTCTAAGGATATTAGAACCCGTGTGACGCTGCTTGCTCAGCTCGCCTAGGACGTCCTCGTCCAGGACAGAGGAGGAGTTCAGGGCCTCCCAAGTGGCCTCTGGTCTTATGAGCACCATCTCGGCTATCTCCCCAGCCTCGAGGCTGGCCAGGAAAGCCTCGGCCGTCATTTCCTCGAGGTTCTGTATCTCTGCAATCTCTTGGAACGGTTTCATATGAAAACCAGATGCCTTGACGGGCAAACCGGTCTCGCCATCGAAGATGTGATAACACTCTTTTACCGGCCGTGACGGGGAACTTCGTTACCGGTTTCCGGCGTTCCCCTCTCCCCGGGGTCCTGGCTTCTGCCAGCGACCCTTGAGGACAGGCTTAGGGAAAGTCCGCCTGCGGTTTCTCTCCTCCACAGGACTGAAGTGTACTAGCTTCCCGAAGCCAAAGCAGCAAATGTCGCACTGCTCGGTGGACCCAAGTCCCATGCGAACGGGGTTTGCTCGACCGGGATTCGACACAGAACTCCCTGGCCACGCTGAGATCGGTGTGCGCGCCTGAAGATAACTGTATTCTTCCTGAAGAGCCACTTGAATCGCCTCTTCGAGGGTGCTCGACTGCGCCCGGAACAGCTGAGCGCGCGCCGGGCCCACTCGAAGGTCGTTCATGAACACAGTCACCTTGATGTGTTCGTTAAGTGGGCTGGCCATTAGGTACGCCGTGAGCTTCCGTATCGCTTGGACGTACTCGTGCAGCTCGCGCCTTCCTTGCTTGCATGAGAGGAAGAACGGACGCTGCCGGTACTCGTAATTCACCGGGAGAAACGCGGCTCGGAGCTGTTCGCACAGCTGAGCCCATGATGTGAAACATCCAGGCGATGTCGCCTCCCGCGTGTACACCCAGCTCTTAGCTCGGCCGCTAAGATGGGAGATGGCAAAAGCAACGCGAAGTTGCTCGGTCGAGATCAGATCCGCGTCCATCGCGACCTCTACCTCTCGAACCCAGAAGTGAAGGGTTCTCACTTTCCTTCCCTTCATTTAGCTTCACCGTCAGCCGTATTGGCTTCGGGTGTGGTGGACTTGTTTCCGCCGCCGGAGCTTGCAGGGTTTCTGGCACATGTGCGATGAGCCCTCGCTCGTAAGCGTCAAGCGCACTGACACGATCGAGCTGCTCAGCCGGTGTTGACGCCACCAGGCTCTGCATATCCTTCATCTCGAAGATGATAGCCATCTTCCGAGACGACTCGAGCTGTGAGTCGTTCAGATGGAAGAAGTCGTTCCTATCCATGACGACGAGCTTCAGAGAGGTTCAGGTAGTCTACCGCGTTGGCGTGGATTGACTACAAGTGCTACCAAATGTGACGGGGTCACACAGCACCTTGCGCTAGAGGAAGTTGGCTTCAGAGAGCATACAAACTCTCAGTGAACAGTAGTTCACAGGCTCCTTTTTGCTTAAGGGAGCGAGGTGACCAATTTAAGGTAAGTCGTAAGCTGCAAATATTTATAGGTAGGCTAAGCTTGAGTTAAATTTACATACTATATGTCACTAGTGACATGTACCAGATATCATGAAGTGTGACGTGTCACACTTCATGTAAGTAGGGGTACTCTTGGGATTACTTAAAGTTACAGAGTGATCCCTATGTTGCGGATGCTGGAGCTCAGCTAGACAGCTACTTTGGAGTGTACGTTCTGCTTGCATTCGAAACGTTCTGTAGTGGAGAAAGCACAGGTGAATTACGTAAGAAGGCACTGCAGTACCAGCGTTATCGCTACTTGCAGATGTGCATATGAAGCGATATACTTTGATTAACTTGAATTATACAGTTGCTGTCGAACACATTGCGTTGGAAACACCACAAAAAGGCTGGATTTGTTCTTGAGGCTAGCCTCGGCCTTGAGGATGACTTCGCTTTTGAGATGACTTCGCTCTTATAACAGACCAACGAAAAGCGCACATTAAACCAAAGCGGACGCCACTCGATTCAGGATCAATCGGCCATTTCCTCCCCCCACCACAGAAAAAACGCCTCCCTTGCTTGAGGAGGCTGGCGGTTAGTATACTGCCGGTGCTTATTTTACAGCCAAGGACGCGTTTTTTGGCGTGTTCTTTTAATATAATGATGTCCAGCATCCTACAAGTGTACTAACATATGTGTGTGCATGGATAGGTACTACCAGCATGCCTAAAGGATCCAAGCTCACCCAAGAATAGCATAAGGAGGCTCGTCTTAAGTGGGCTCGCGACAAGGTGACGTGGAGTGAAGAAAAATGGGGAGCCTGCGTCTTTTCAGATGAAAAGAAGTTCAATCTCGATGGACCGGATTGTATGCAGTACTACTGGCACGATTTGCGCCGCGAACCTGAAGTCTACTCTACTCGCCAAAGTGATGGTAGGAGCGTTATGGTCTGGGCTGCATTTTGTGCTAGTGGTAAGTCTGAACTGGTGATTTTGGATGGCAATCAAGACAGCCAGTGGTACATTTACACGCTCTCTGAGCATTTGCTACCTTTCATCGACCGAGTGAACGGTCGGGACTGCGTTTTTCAGCAGGACAATGCGTCCATTCACTCCTCGGCCGCCACGAAGGCGTTTTTGAAGGAGGAAAAAGTCGATGTGATGGACTGGCCAGCCAGGTCACCGGATTTAAATCCCATCAAAAACATGTGAGGAGTACTCGCGCGTGCCGTCTACGCTCAAAGACGGCAGTTTCAGACGAGAGAAGACCTCATTGAAACAATTCAGGCATCTTGGGCGACGATCGGAAACGACCTCATTAAAAAGCTGATTTAGTCGATGCCAAGGCGCTCCATCGCTACGCTAGAGCGTCACGGAGCTAGGACGGAGTACTGAGCGAAATACTGGCGTCTAACTAGCTGTAGATCTCGCTTTAGTCGAATTAGCAGTATATGCCAACGAGGCCAACTTCAACTTCACCTTTTTCACGATTGCAGCAAGACTACATGGCCGATTAATCTAAACCGAGTGGCGTCCGCTTCGGCTTACTGCGCGCTTTTCATTGGTCCCAACTGCGTGCAACAAAACCTCCTATGGGATAAAATCCGTAAAAAAATAACAAGGATGGCAGTATACTAACCGCTAGCACTGTATGCGTATCCGGATTATACAACCTAAACAAGAATTGGTGAATTTCGAGAGCATAGGAGAAAAACACGCCCATCGCTGGGATAACACACACGGGGCTGGGCGACATGGGTGCCATAGCCGCAGCGTCAACTAAGGTGAGCGGGTGCGAGGCGGGCCCAGCGCTGAGCTCACCAGCGAGCCGAGCACTACACTTTCCAGTACATTCTATCTCCATATTGCGAGCGCAGCGAGCCGCGAGGGCGCCGAAGGGGCGCCCAACCAAGCGAAGCGCGGCTGGTCCCTTTTATGTTGTGCCCTCTAATCGTCGATTATGTTTTATTGCGACACTCAGAGCATTTTCACCAGTTGCGACAATACAAAAGCTATAATTGGTCAATAATGTTCATACTCAAATTTGATCGACCTGTGACTCCACACCAGCTCGGACAAAACGAAGACAATCCACCCCAGATCTCACAAAAAGAAGCCCATGTCGGTGAATCCGTTTAGCGCAGCGTCGAGATGCCCCCAGGCTTATCTCGACATTGAAGACGAAGACGAGGAGGAGGATCTTGTCATTCAGCAGCTCCTATATCCTGATCCTCATGCTGTCGCCCAGCGACGCGGAGGGTCACGCCCCGGCAAACGTGCCACAAGAAACGAGACTTTCAGACGCGTTACCAGCGCTTTGTAGAGCAGTATTTTGCGCCGATTCCAGTATATGATGATGATGACTTTAGAATGCGAAATCGCATGAGCAAGACTATGTTTTATCGCGTTTTGAACGGTGTACTTGATGCAGATTCCGCGTATTTTGAGCAGCGACCGAATGCAGCAAAGAAAATGGGCATTTACCCTCTTATGAAGGTGACATCTGCTTTAAGGGTTCTAGCTTGCGCAATGTCCGCTGATTCTATAGACGAGAATCTGGAGATGTCCAAGACGGTTATCTACAGTAACGTATGTCATTTTGTGGATGCCGTGGACAAGCAGTTTGGTGACGAGTATCTACGATCTCCTACGGAATCAGATATGAAGCGGCTACTCGAATTAAATGCGCGGCGTGGATTTGTCGGAATGTGGTGCAGCATCGACTGCATGCACTTGGAGTGGCAAAACTGCCCGACCGGTTGGGCTGGGCAGTTTAAAGGCAAGGAGAAAAAAAAACTACGGTTGTTCTGGAGGCGTGCGCAGATGAAGAGCTTTGGATTTGGCACGCTAGCTTTGGCTGGCCTGGAGCGCTAAACGAGCTTAATATTCTCGATAGATCTCCCGTGCTCGATGAATTAATGAAAGGAAACGCACCTCAAGTGAATTTCGAAGTTAATGGACATTCGTATGACATGGCGTATTGCCTAGCAGATGGAATATATCCTGACTGGGCTGCATTTGTTAACACATTACCAGAACCACGTGGTAACAAGCAAAAGTGCTATGCAAAAACACAGGAAGCGCTCAGAAAAGATGTCGAACGCGCATTCGGCGTCCTGCAGGCCCGATGGGGGATTTTAGCCTTACCGTGCAAACTACATTCACGGCTGAACATGAATAACGTTATGCGAGCCTGCATTATCCTGCACAACATGATATGTGAAGAGAATCGTTTCTCTTCAGTCGATGAGCACGGATATTTGTTTGACGACGAGCAAGAAAATCCTCTGTACAAGCTTCGCGTTTCACGACCAGTTAGATATCGACCTAGATCGCTCGGTGAGCTCACAGCACGCATTAATACGATCGAGAACGCTTCACGTCACGCTCAGCTACAGGTCGACTTAGTTGAACATGTATGGAAGTGTTTTGGTGAAGCAGACGATTAAAATAAAATAAAGATCGTGAGCTGACAAGACTTTTTTATTAACGTTAGTTCTTGAATGAATTTGCTAGCTTTCTGTTAAAAAAACAAAGTAGTCACGTGAAAAACATCCTAGTCAGTGAACTCGATCGACGAAGCTGGAGTATCAGATAATTGAGTTAGTGGTGGAAAACTTGCCGTCGTGAACGAAGACGATAGCGTGGATGAAATGTCCGATGACGATGGTAGGTTGCAGTCCTGTGAAGCGAAAGTTGCTAGAGATGAATTGTCACCGGTCGATGATGTGCTTGGTGGTGTCGAAGACTCATCTCTCGGAAATAGTCGATCTTGAGCTGTAGCATCCGCGTTTTCTGGTGAGGATGGTGTTGAGCTTGCATCCGAAGATAGCAGAGCAGCTAAATCCTGCGAGGCGGCGGTGGCGGAGTCTAATGGAGGTCTTTGAGGTGAGATCGTGCTCACAGTATCAAGGCGGCGCAGCAAGTTGGCACGACGGTTTTCTAGGTACGTAGCATGCTCACGACTTGCTGGCACAGTACTAAAAAGCTCGTTGAGCATTGTGTGTAGCACTTGCTCTTCTTGGAGGCGCTGTTGGGCTTGATTGATGTGAAGCGGATCCTTTAGTACTTTCACCTTTAGGGTCATCGACGGTGCTAGTGTATCCTGGGCTTTCACTGCTCGAAGTGGAATCAACCTCTCTACTTTAGCTCGTTTTGCAGCTTTAACCCCGACGTTGGGACGCTCGTTTTCTGTGTTATCGCTGGTAGGAGGACCGGCCAGTGTTTGCCCAATGTTTGTAGTCTCAGTTTCCTCTTCAGACACAGAACGCTTCCCAGAGCATAAAGATTGCCCGCGACCGGAAACTCTATCAAGCTCCTTCGCAAACTTTGGGCACCTGGACAGCAAGTCGTAGCACTCTACATAAGCAAAATGCTGGTTGTAGCGCTCTTTATACAACGCCAACGCCTGCTTCATCATAACCCTCTCAGTTGATCCAGACGTTCTCAGAGACTCAATGTGAGTCGAACAGCCAACATACTTTGCAATTGACTTTTGAATTTGACCAAAATGCGCCTGGAGGCTTGACCACGTACGACTTGGCATCTTTCCTGATGCTAGAGCAACCGATATGAGCTCCGAACTCTTCATAATATCTTTACTCGACACCAAAAGTCCTTGGCGGTCTGGTTAATTCCGACTAATGCGTCGGTAGACACCTGTACGCATGCTTGCGCTAGCTCCAACTCTTCAGCTACAGCATAGTTACGCCCTCGCGCTACCTTCTCTCGTGCTGGCATCTTCGAGAAGAATTCGCTCGTACACTGAGCACTGAAGGGTCGCACAAGGTAGTGTTTTGTCAGCGATCATCGGTGTGTTATATCTTGTCGAAGGATGACCGGAGGATGGTCGATGGGCAAATTTAGTCCGTGTTTTGTCGAACTGGTGCGAGCCCAAAAAGTCATCCGTTGGTTACATTTTGTTGTTGTCGATGTTTTGTCTCAAATGGTGGAAATGCTCTCAGAAGGTCAAAACAATACAGAAGTCAAGTCAAATGATTTGCTGTGTGCTGAAGCAGTAAATGCATGTGTTATATCGTGAATTTCTATCGGTCGGGGACAAATGGCTCGTCTTCGTACCTTTCAGCCGGTCACAATAACGCCTGCCCATTTTCTTACAAAAAAAAAATGTGCCTCTTCATCAGGGGGAAATAGAGCACTACCGGTACAGCAATAATGTTGAGTGCCTTCCCGACAAAAATTCACCGCTCAGCCGGCGGTGCTGCCATTCTCTCCAAGAGAGTGTCTCGATGACGTGAAGCCTAGCAGAGAATGCCGTGACATCCTGCTGATTCACAAGCAATTGCTCGTCCACAGTGCTCCTCACTGCGTGATCCATGCAGAGCTTCTGCCGCGGGAATGAAAGGTGGGCACTACATGTGCATGATCGACGAGGATATGCGTATCATCTCGCTTCTCGTCTCGCTTCTTGTCCGGCGTGAAGAGTTCTATCCTCTCTGAATCCATGTACGGCTCGTGCAAAGCAAGCTCCAAGGCTATGTTGTCGTTCCTCCGGCGTGGTGTCAGGTTCGCACAACCACGCGTTGCGCGCGTCAGGCTGAGGACGCGAGCTTTGGCTGTCGCGATGGACAGGCCACTTGGCAAAAGCCACTTCAAATGTGCGCCATCTGTTCTGAACTTCAACACGCGAGCTAACGAAGATCGACTTGTTCCGGGCAGCATCGCATTTTGATGCAGCCGACCAAGTTGGCGCGAGCTTCCGCCGTTATGAGGCCGTGTGTTCTTTTTCAATACAGTATACAAAGACTGTATTATAAGAGATACTGTACGTACGTCGGAACATTGGGTGGGGCACTGCCGCGTGGGCAGGTGACGAGCGCGGCGCGGAGTTCGATGATGAAGACTGGCAGTCTGTCTTGGTTGGAGTGCAAGCGCGAGCATTTCCGGTGAATTGTCAAGGTGTAGTGTTTGTGTACACGTACAGTCGAGAGAGAAGAACATGCAGGCAAGCACGCCGTGCTTAGCACGGTACAAGTATAATACATGTATTGGTATCCTACTGACCACCCGCCCAAATTAAAAGTGACCGTCGTAGACACTCGGATTTCGAGTGTCTACGCCAATCACTTTCAAGATGCCTTTTGCTGCAGGTCTTTCGCTTTCTCAGCCGCGAAGACACCGCCATTTTCTCCGAGACCATTTCCAACTTCAATGCTAAGTTAGCATTGCTTACCTGAAAAAACGGCAAAAAGTTTGAGCCTCTGTGCAAGCGCTTTACCGTCGTGTCCGTTTATGCCGCGTTGAAGTTTTCAGTGGTGACTTGTTGCCTTTTCTGTGTCAGTGCACAGCAGCTTGAGTCGAGCAAGCGATACGATCGAGTACATGTACTAGGTATCGCCCAAATGGCCAGGCCATGGCTCATGAGCATTGCTCGTCTCGACGAGCGATTTCCTTGTCCATAGCCCTCTCTGGCTCATTTCCAATTCAGACACAAGCAGCGCACACCTCACTCCGCTCCTGCACAAGCTTCCGACGTTTCCGTAGTCGCCATGAAGGTTTTGCTACAAGTGGCTGCAGCACTCTCATGGTTGTCGATGGCAGCAACGGCCATTAAGCCCGTCGAGCACGTCCTGGACACCATGTTGCGTGGCAACAACGACAGCTTACCGGGGATCAAGGACGCCAAGTGGTATTGGGAAAACGACCACGAATTCACCTCCGAGAATCTCGAATTCTTCGAAAACTTCAAGCCCCACGACGAGAACCAGACGTGTTCCAGTGACCGACACGCTACTCCATTCAACAAGCAGGTCCGCGGTGCCAATCTCGGTGGTTGGTTGGTGCTGGAGCCGTGGATCACCCCCACGCTCTTTTACCAATTTCTAAGTACACAAGAGCGGTTCGGCGACAAGGCCCCCGAGAAGACGGCAATGGATATGTACACCTTCTGCACGGCACTAGGCAAGGAAGAAGCCAATCGCCAACTGCGTATTCACTGGGCTACCTGGGTGACCGAAGCTGACCTGAAAGAGATGGCTGAAGCCGGCGTGAACTCGCTCCGTGTACCGGTGGGCGACTGGATGTTCATTCCGTATGAGCCCTACATCGGCTGCACGGACGGCGCTGTCAATGAACTGGACCGTGTTGCTAACCTCGCCTACAAGTACAACATCGACTTGCTGCTGGACATCCACGGACTCGTCGGTTCGCAAAATGGCTTCGACAACAGTGGGATGTCCTCGTCTGTCAAGTGGACATCGATTGCCAGCACTCGTCCAATCGGAACCACCACGTTCGAGCACTGGCCGCTACGCTCCGCCGGGTGGGCTGGCGAGTTCGACCTTGCTACGAACACGTACAAATCCATTAACTACGAGCATTTAAACCATTCACTTACAACAG